TCAATGGCTGTAGGGTGGCAGACCAGATTCTTAAGCTTGTGCCAAATTTTGAGGTAATAATCATGAATGCTAGTATGTTGTCTTTGGGGAAATATATTATCATTGATTTAGTCTTCTTAGCCCTTGTTAATGTCTAATCTGTTTCTGAATTTTAGCATTTTCGCACAAAGCTCCGCTGTTTAAAGTTTTGGGCCAAAAGGCGTGGTGTTTATTCGAATGTAAGTGGCTTCTTCCTTCAGCATTATTTTCTGATCAATGGGTCCTACAGATAGTATTTTCTTCTCACCTTCTGCAGGTGACTGGTTTTCTTGGTGGTGTGAACTGGGCTCTCCTTGTAGCTCGGGTGTGTCAGCTTTATCCGAATGCAGTTCCCAGTATGCTGGTTTAACGATTTTTCAGGGTTTATACACAATGGCGTTGGCCAAATCCTGTAATGCTTTGTGGAATAGAAGAAGATGAACTTGGTTTTTCTGTGTGGGATCCTCGTAAAAATCCTCGTGACCGAACTCATCATATGCCAATTATAAGACCTGCATTCCCTTGCATGAATTCTAGTTACAATGTCTCAGTAAGTACTCTCAGGGTCATGATGGAGCAATTCCAATTTGGTAACAAGATCTGTGAGGTGAGAAGGTGAACAATTCCCTTGAATTTAAGTGTAGTCTTATGGTGAGTGTTATTTTACTGATATCAGCTTTTTCCCTTGATCTTGCCTGTGTTAGGAGATAGAGCTGAATAAAGCCCAATGGAGTGCTCTGTTTGAGCCATATTTGTTCTTTGAAAGCTATAAAAACTATCTGCAGGTTGACATAATTGCTGCTGACACTGATGATTTGCGTTCTTGGAAAGGCTGGGTTGAATCCCGGCTAAGGCAGCTGACACTGATGGTAATGTCCATCCCTTTCGAATTGTTAATGGCAAGAGGGAGCTTTGGTTAACTTTTAAGTTGTGCTTCTCCAACTTATCAACCAAAAAAAAAAAAAAGTGCTTCTCTATCTTCATGGTTGTTGTAGAAGAGACGCAAAAGAAAGTGATTCCCCACCTATTTTTCTTTCTTATTTATGTTTATGATTCAAATTTTGCAGATAGAGCGGGACACTTACAGGAAATTGCAGTGTCATCCATATCCGCATGACTATGTTGATTCTTCAATGCGGCGCTCCCATTGTGCGTTTTTTATGGGTTTGCAGAGGAAGCAAGGTGAGGTAATCCAAGAAGGTCAGCAATTTGATATTCGTGGTACAGTTGATGAGTTCAGGCATTCAGTGAACATGTACATGTTTTGGAAGCCGGGGATGGAAATCTACATCTCTCATGTTCGTAGAAAGCAAATTCCATCTTATGTATTTCCAGAAGGTTATAGACAATCCCGGCAAGCAAGGCTAATGAGTGAGCAGCATCCTGAAAACCCATCTCAAGAAAATGGTGAAGTTCATAGGTCTGGATCTGGCGAAAGAGGCTTTAAGTGGAAAAGAGATTCTGAGGAAAGTCCAGAGAAACGGCAATCAATTAAAACCGAGAGGCGGGGTTCAATTTCTCCTGACATTGTTAGTGATAGTTTTGCCAGTGCATCTAAGGACTCTATGGTATTGGGTTCTGTGAGAACAAAAGGAAGTTCAGATAATGGAACATGTGAAGTTGGCATGGCTGAAGTGGGTGAAAGTGGATCTACTAGGAGAGTGCTGCGGCAGATGGAAAGCAGTGAAGAGGCCAGCACAGATGGAGTTAAATCAGATAAAGAAATCTCATATTCAAGTGTCATCACAAACCTTGCCAGTGAGATAAACTCTTGCGAGGATGTTGGGCTTGAATCTGTTGTGGGTAACAGTGAGGGTAATGCAGGGAGTAACAACCAGGGATCTTCCCAGGGGGACTCTTGCGAGGCGGACTCGGAAGTGTTTGGCGGCGGAGTAATTCAGAATGGATTGTTGGAAGAGTTAGAGGTTTCGAATATAAGTTATTTTTTACTTTACATTTTCCAGTTCACTTACTAATCTATTTCTTTCAAGTTGGAAAATGGACCATGTGCACTCCTAACAACTTCATTCTTTGTTTGGGAGATTGTTCGTTTGGTATCGTTTTTTTTTTCTGTTTTGTTTTTAAAAACAGAAATCTAAAGTTTTCTAGAAACACCCCTTTTTATGTAACACTTCTATTTTATTTTTGAATTTTCAGAAACTATTGTTGCACGTTCGAACCATGCATTATTTTGTTTTTGAAAACACAACCGTTTTCTAATTTTGTTTGGTCACTTTTGTTTCTTGAAGCCAAATGCTGCACTTGGGATGGTACTGAAAGCCAAGGGTGGAGTTAATTCCCAATCTGTACTGAAGACAGTGACCAGGCATGCGTTCTGAAATTCTGAATAGTATTTATTGTAAGATTTTTTTTTATGTCTATTTCGTTTTTATAGTGCTCTTTCTGGTTTTTTTGTCTGTCAGTGTAGCAGGATGAGCCTGACATCAACAGCATGAAAGAGAAGTGTGTATCAGTTGAATTCCTTGCTCTAAAACTAAAACCATGTTTGCTCAGGAGAGACAGAAAGCCAGCAGTTCGGGGTAAGTACTATCTACGTTGCTGGCTTTCATTTGTTACTTTTTTTTCCAGGCATGCTTGTGTGTGTGTTCAACTTTGCGGGGTGGCGACCAAGTCCAAAGAGCTCGGATGTGTACAGTTTTTAGTTGTTGCATCTTTGCTGTGCTGCGTAAGTAGTGAGCAAGCTTCCAATGCTCTTGGAGAAGATTTTGGATGCTTTTCTAGTAGGCTTAGCAGTCTCGGTAATGTTAGGTCATTTTACTTTTTGTCTCTGTGGATGTGCTAAACTGTCCTAGTGTCTTTTGAATGATTTTGAGGGAGGACTTCGTTATTATATAATATACAATATACTAGGGGGTGGGGGAGTCTTAACTCAGATAGCAGAGTATTTGGGGGGAAGGGGTTTTCTAGTTTATTTCTTTGTTCTCATTTTATCTTTACTCTCGTACACTTGCTGGCTTCTTGTAGTGATATATTATTATATATGAAACTTCTCTCTCTCTCTCTCTCTCTCTACACATGTTTGATTGGGCCAAAGAGGTTGATTTTGCTTTGTATGAAGCAGATTTGAAATGATCCAGCTGATATTTCTAGTACATGTCACATTGCATCAATTGCTTATGCTGGGTTTGGATTTTTGATTTGGATATAGGGATTTGTGTAGAGAAAAGAAATGAGGGGAAATGTGAACAGAAATATAAGCTAATAATTGTATTTCACATTTCTCTCCTGCATTTTCATTTAAATTTGTACTCAAATTTATGATCCCAAGATAGTCTTGAAACTATCAAGTTTCTACACACATGGGCATGAATGTTGGCTACTCTAGTTGTAAATCGGTAAAGCAGGTGTACCGAATCTGTGGTTTGAAATACAGTACGTCTGATTACAGTTGAACTTGATTGAGCATCAAATTTGATTGGCTGGTATTTTATTTTGGATAAATTACACTGTACCTTTAGGCTGTGTTTGGTTAGAGGATTTGATGAGGGAAATGGAAAGGGAAATGGAAAGGGAAAGGAAATAGAAAGAAAATGAGAAAGAATTGATAGGATTCGAATTCCAAGTTATGTTTGGTCGAGTTTGGAAATGGAGGAAGAAAGGAGCCTAAGTGAACCTAAAACACAAAAAGTGGGATTGCATTTCTCTCTCACCTTCTTTTCCCTAGTGTTTTCCACTATAACCATACAAAAGATGGGATTGCATTTCCTATTCCCTTTCCATTTCTCACACCAAATCTTCCAACCAAACATAGCCTTATTGTTCGGATAATTTTTTGGAAAATTTACCCATAAGTCCTAGTTTTTGAAACGTTGAACCATTTAGTCCTAAAAGTTTTCTTATGCTCCATTTAGTCCCATTTTTACATCAACATGATGTGAATGATGTAAATGATCTGATGTTTCATTCTATAAATTCAAAATTTATTGAAATCTGATGAACATTAGATGTTTTTCATCCTATATTTTCAAACATTATTGAAATTTGATGAACATTAGATGTTTGAAATCCAATGTTTATAACATGACTCTGATGTTATTAACATTGTATCTGACGTTATTAACATTGTAATGGGACCTTTCAGTCTATAAGAAAACTTTTAGGACTAAACAGTGCATAAGTTATTAATTTGGGATTTATTGGTGCATCCCTAATTTTTTTTTTCTATTTTGGTCTTTTAATGTTTTGGGTGTTTTTCAATTTACTCAAGGTAACTCATGTTAAAAATTGATATATTGAGTCACCTTACATAAAAATATTTTTATTATATAATATTTACATTTTTGACACTTGAATCGTAATATAATAATTTTTTTTGTCTTGTGTTAATGTTATATTTTTTTGTCTAATTTTGTATACAAGTTTAAGGAGTCAACTTTTTAAAAAAAAAAAAAAAAAACCAACGGCAAATGCCAAAGAAAGGTGCAATTTACTCATTATTTTTAGCTGTGGGGTAACCAAATTCCTGTAGATTGTTTATCGATTCTCTCATGTTCAAGTGGACTCAAAATTACAGGGAGAATGAAAAAAAATTATAAATTTTGTAATTTAACTAATTAATCTAAATTATTTTTTTTAGTACTCTAGTTTGTATCTCAGCTTGGAATTCTGATTAATCAATGCATTCACAATTGAGAATACACAAGAATTAAGTCTTTGGGTTTTTTATTTTCCATTTTTCACTTTTGGCTCTATATTTTCAACTTCAGGGCAAAAGGGATATCTACATAATTTGAAAAATAAAAAATAAAAATAAGTTTTCACATCTAAAATATAAAAATAGCAAACAAAATTACTTTATTCCGGTTGCAACTTTCTATTTTCATTTATATATATATATATATACACACACATATATACTGGGACAATTCACCTCCAATGTCCACCTTAAGTGATAATTCTACCTCACAACAAATAGAGGGCAAAAATAAGAACAAAAACTTATGCATCCACATAATTACGTTGAAGAAAAATATTGAAAAGTTGAAGGAAAACAAGTCAATCCATCCTCCCAAATATAACAATTAGCTGGAAATATTTAACTACAAATGCCTCACTTTTCTTTCTGGCCTAGCCATAGAAAATATAATTCACAAACCAAAGTCTACTCCAAACTAACAGTGAAAATTCTTCAGATTCATTTCGAAGCAGCATCGAGTTGGATCTTTTCTTGCTTACTGCCAACTGAAAGAGCAAAAAATCCCCAATTTCAAAATTTTAAAAATGAAATAAAAAAAACACCAAACTCACTAGGGGAGTAAATAAGAAAACTCACAGCGCAGTGTTGAGAGCTCAGAACTTTTCAACACGCGGAGCCTTTTCACAGTGGATAAAAACATGCTGCAAATGATATGTTTAAGAAACCCAAATTAGGAGAAACACAAGCCAATCCAATGTGAAATATGGAAGAAGGAAAAACCCAATTTCAAGGTCATGTGTGGTTGAAAAACATTTTGTGATTATATTTGAGAAGTGCAAATACAATCTTCATTGTAAATTTAAAAGTATGGTTCATTTTAGAAGTGGCTTTTTGACTGAAGTACGAGGTTAAAAAATTAAAATATTTGGGTATCATCTTTTGATTTTTTATGAAAAAAACATACAAAAAATATTAGAGTATGCAAGAATTTGAAATTTTTTGTATGACTTTTTGCCTATATTAGCTTCTTGCCAAACGAGGCCTTAGTGTGATTGAAACTAATTCACACATTTCAAATTTTAGTCACTTTCTTTAGATTATTATTATTATTATTATTTTTTTTTTGAGTACATAAAATTGCAGAAACATGAAATCTTTAGCAAGATACCATAGATTTATAGTGAGTATATCATGTATGACAGGTAAGTAAAGTGCCAAAAATGCAAGAACTTTTGAGTATGGCAATTTGGGAATGACAAATAAAAAATAATCACACAATCTAATTCAGCAATCTATAACAGGAGAACATGGGACAACATGAGATTATAGTATATATATCATATGACAGGTAAGTAAGTGCCAAATGAAAGGACCGTCATGCTTGGATTTTTGAATAGGTTTCTTCAAAGGTAAGGAATCTTACGATAGCGATTTGGGATACTAAACAAACCAAAATATAAGGGTAAGTGACCAAATATTGAAATATTGGGAAATAAAATAAACTAAGTTGTGACAGATCAGGAAATGAAGATGCTTACTGCCATGGGACATCCCCAACAAGCATCCTGTCTCCTTCATTATCCTCATAAACAAGGGTATATTCACCACTTCCATCTAATAAATCGGTAATCGCTCTCTCTCCCTCGTGCTTGTTCTGGATTCCTCCGGCAGAGGAATTTCTTTGAGCTAAACAAGATCAACAAAAAAGACAAACGTAATGAGATATACCACCACGTAGGACCCTGAGAAGCAGAGACATGAAAATGCAAAACGACACAAACACACCGACGCATCAATTTTCAAAAGGTGCAGGACAGCACACACGAGGGACACACAAGATATATATTTTTTTATATGTATATTATATGTCATACATACAAATATATTATTGAGAAACAATTTAAAAAATGCAATATAACATTAATTTTTATAAATTTACATTAGTTTTCTTTTATTATTGAATCCTAAATTTACATTAGTTTCATGCGTATCTAATTAAAGGGCACATGTGTTTAAGTGATGAACACATGCACTAAAATAATTAAATTAAAATAGCACACATTTTAATGGCACAGACACCACACCTTCTTGGTGTTCGTGCTTATTGGCATAGGACTAAATTCCAAGCTAAAGTGTTGGACTTAGATGCAGGGGAGGCAGAGAACTATGGACATATAGAAACTTTCAAGGTTGAGAGCACCTCCGGGACCATGTATAAATTTTATATATTAAATATGTAAAAATATTCTAACAAATATTTTTATATACTTAGATGTAATACATGTGATAAAATAAGAATAAATATTAGAAATTGATATTAACTACAAATTGTCTTAGATATTATATAAATATAAAGAGAAGTAAAAACAAGTTGAGTTTTTTTTTAGATTTATATGTTTGAGAGGTTCTATGTAGTTAAAAGCAAGATTGAGTTTCTGAGGAAGAAGCGTCAAAGAGCTTCCTGCTACTAGGGTGTTGACAAGCAATCCTTAAAAAAAAAGAATGTATTAGATGCAAAAAAATCTCTAAATAAACCAACCATATTAGGAGAATTTTTAGTTGAGTAATGTAAGTGACCTGCAAGTAGGCCTCTGAAGAGCTCATCAACAGAAGAGGAGAGTTTTTCATAGCTATCATAAGCTTTAAGATCAACTTTCCTTCCAATAGGAACTCCATCCATATTGATCTTCACAAAGAAACCTTTTGGGAAACTTCCAACCCGTTTTTTTTCGCTTGGAACCTTGTCTGGGACCACATTTTGGGATTCTGGGATCTGCTTGGACGAACTGCTACTGGCAAGATTCTTCCTGAATGAACGAATCGGAGGCCACCCCACCACTTGGGCAGGAGCAGTTCTGTTTTGAAATGTTTTTTGGGGGGACAACAATTAGTCACAAACAACATCAAAAAAACACAAATCAAATTGTGTTCTACATTAGAGGAAACATAAACAGGAGAAAAATGTAATTTTAAAATAAGAACAAAAGCAATACATATCAGAATGTTTCACAAATTTATGTGTGAATGGGACCTCAGTAACAAGATGAACATAAAGAAAGTTGAAAATATAGCATTCAAGATAGACAGACAAGATTTTCAATGACAGCGGCAAGTGACAAGATTTTGTACTTTCAATACTGATATTCATACTATCCAATATTCACAGTGTATACGCCAGCACTCAAAATTTCAAAATATGCAGGAAAAATGGAGAAGCCCTGCAAAATATATAAATTTTATATATTTTTACCATATGTCATATATATATGTGAATATTTAACTGAAAAAGAACACATTTTTTTTTACAACAGAAGAGAACATAAATTTACATAATTTTGGTTTTATCATTGGATTATAAATTATTCTGTTCGAACTTGTAATGTATTTCATATGTGTCTATGTCTTGAGAAGTATCCGACGAGTGTATTGTAGTGTGGTAGTGTTGTGTCGATATTGGACAAGACATGTTACTTTCTTAAAAGTGTTTAGATATCTAAACAGAGTTTTGTAACAGAAACAAAATGCCATTGCTAAATACTTTGCTTAAATGAGACACGTGATTCGTTGGTGATTGTCTATGTCATATTTATTACAAAATCCAAATTCGTCTTTAATCAGGATTTATTGCAATAATCCGGAATCGCTAGTAATTGCTAGTTAGCCTCACGACATTGAATTTGTTTCCCATTCCAAAAACATCTGCAATTAAGTAAATAGCACCATGAATGAATGGATCAAATAAACTTGAAATATGAAGGGAAAAAAAAAATGTACAAGTCATGTTGTGAAAAATCTTTAGGTATATCAGAATCCTGTGATTGGTGAAATAGTAATATCTCTCCCACTCCTGTACATAAGGTGAAAATTTATTAAATATTCTAGAATAACACATTATTATCTATGTGGTGAATGAGAGACTGCAACATCCTCTAATGGATCGGTTGGGAACAATCTTTTTCGGTGACTTTCAGATTAAGATAAGAGATAAAAACATATATTTGAGAATAACATTTTGTATGAATTAAAAATTTTTTGACCAAAAAAAAAAGGTAAAATGGATGGAAAAGAATTTTTTTAACCCTTTTTTTTATGAATTAAACTTTTTTTTTTTTTTTGACTTTTTAACCTTTATTTACGAATTTTTTGACTTCTAAGCCAAGAGTAAGGGTTCTCAAAAGAGGCCAGGTTGCCCTATGGAATTGATATTTTTTGGCATCGTTTGCTAAGTGACTTTTTTAGTCAAAAATTTACTCAAAAAATCAAAAAATCAACTCATATTAAAAAGTCAAAAAATTTATTTTCTCTTTACTTTTTGCACATTCTTTTGTAAAAAGCCAAAAAGCTATCACAAATATATTAATTTTTTTCCCATCATATTTTAACTAAAAAATCAAAAAAATTACTAAAAAAGTCTATTTCCAAACGAGACCTTAATTGACTTTTTTTTTTAAAAAAAAAACTTTTTGACTATTTTTAAATTTTGTTTGGTTTGGCCTTTTCTTTTCTTTTCTTTTTTTTAAGAAAAAAATAAAATAATTATAATTTAAATATAATATTTTTATCTTATTGACATATCCTGTCTTTTATGCTTTTTTAGTTTAAAAAAACTGTAGCCAAACAAGCTCAAATCACTTAGACCATGTTTGGCAACCGAACTTTTTAGTTAAAAAGTCAAAAAGTTACTAAATTAGCCAAAAAGTCAACAAATTATACCAAAAGTTAAAGATTCTCTTTTCTCTCTACTTTTTACACATCTTTTCGTAAAAAGTCAAAAAGTCATCCCAAACATACTAGTTTTTTTAGCTCATATTTTAGACAAATAGCCAAAAAGTTACTAAATTAGCCTGTTCCCAAACGAGGCCTTAGGGTTTGTTTGGGAAATGGTTGATTTTTTGACATTTTGATTTTTTTTTTTGCTGTTTTAACCTAGAGTTAAAAAATCTCATTTGGAAAGGGTTTCGGAATTTTTTTAAAATTTTTTGTAAAAAAAAAAATATACTAATTATGAATCAAATGTGATATTTTATTTTTTTAACTAAAAAACTTATTTATTTTTATAACTATTTAATTTTTTAAAAAGCCCAACCTTCAGCTTCCCCAACGAAGCCTAATAAATCGTCTCTTAATTATTATTATTATTTTTTAAAGTACACATAATTGCTTTCGCTACATAATTTTTTTTTTTTTGAACCGGCCTTCGCTTCGCTACATAATTGGTTCAATCACACATGATGTTCTGAAAAATAATTAAAAATAAATAATAATAACAATAATTGCTGCAACTAATACCAGATGACATGTGGGTTGATTGGCGTTTAAAAGAGAGTCTCCCAACAAAATAAAAGAAAACAACTTGACAGAGAAAAAACATCTTTGAAAGAAGAGATTATAAGGAAGGACCACAACAACAACATCCATCCAGCAATGTAACCGAATAGTGAATATCCTCTGTCCAAAAAATAGCAAACAATACGGCTATCTAAAAATAAAAAATTTTAAAAGCTGAGGGTACCTTTTCTGAGAGCTGTTTGGCACAGCTGTATTTGCAGAAAATGCCTTCTTCTCTGCACTCTTCTGTAAATCCACCCCTCCTTTAGTCCCACAGGTCTGTGAGCTTTGTGGGTTGTTTGTTTGGATCTGATGAATAAATGGAGAAGATGACCATGGAGTTTTTAGGGTTTTCCCAACTGGGTTATCTGAGAATGATACTTTCTGGTTGTTTATCCAACCATTCTCTACTCTGTTTCCACCATTGTTATGGGTCAAGGAAGCCATGTTAGAGAAGTACCCAACAGAGGAGAGAGAGCCATCTCTCTCTCTAGAGTTGTTGTTCTTGGTCCAGTCTTGTTCTTCTTGTTCACCTGGTGGACCAAGCCTTAGCTCAAGCTTTTTCTCCTCTGAAGATCCATGGCTTCTGTGTCTATCACCCCTTGGTACAATCCACTCTCTGTTTTTTGGTATCAAATCAAGCAACTGAGGACAATCCTCATCCTTGTTTTCCATTTCTTTTCCCTAGTAAATCACACCCAAACGGAAAAGCACCTTCTCCTCCAAGAAAATAAAAGAAACCTCACAGAGAGAGCTCAATTTATGAACACCCACATCCTCAAAGCATATCAAAATCCAGCTCTAATGGCCCAAAAATTAAAAACCCAGATAATAAAGAGTTATATAAACCTCAAAAGCACCAAAAACAGAGCCTCTCAATCCATGACCCAAGAGATTGAAAATCAAAACAGAGCATATAACAGCCTAAGAGAAACCCCACCAAAAGCAAAGATAAAAATTGAATAAAAGGCCAAAAGGGAGAGAGCTATAATAGTTTTGGGATTGCAATCTATAGTCGCTTTTCTTTTGCACGCCGAGTGAGTGAGTGAGTGGTTCTTCTCTCTCTTTCTCTTTCTCTCCAAATATATATATATATATATAATAGTAAAAGGTTTATAGTATTTTTTAGACCCTCCTGTTGATAATAGAAGTAGTAGGACGAGAAAGAGGAGTGAGCAGAGGGAAGCGAAAAAGGAGAAATAGAGAATAGAGAGAGAGAGAGAGAAGCAGAGAGCGAGAGAGAGAGATTCCCTGACTTTACTCAAAAGGGTGTTCAAAACCAAAACAAGAACGGAATTAAGAGCATAACAACACGCAACTAGGCCCCCAAAAACATATGTCGTTTGGTTCAGCAAGCAAAATAGGCTGAGCCCCCCCTTGCCCCCATCTCTTCTCTCCATATGAACTAAAGTCTTGTTTGGATTAAATTATGTAAGTGTAATTTTTTATTTAAATATATTTATTTAAATCACATTAATTAATTTTTTTTACAAAAATTTAAAAAATACACTGGAGTTCAAAAATTAATTTTTTAACTTTTATTAATTTTTTTAAAAATATATTTACAAAAAATAAAGAAATAATATGATTTAAAAATAACTAAAAAGTCAAAAAAATTAATTTTAAATTAGCTCGTTAAAATAGGCTATTGGCTTTTTATTTAAGGGTAAGAGGGGTGACTAATCGTGCTAATCCATTTTAAGATTCAATCAAATGATTAGTTTTTAATTTTTAAAAACAGGTTTTTAAATTTTTAATTCTTATTATTTTAATTTTTAAAAACAGGTTTTTAAATTTTTAATTCTTATTATTTTAATTTTTAAAAACAGGTTTTTAAACAATCACCTGATTAGTTTTTAATTTTTAAAAACAGGTTTTTAAATTTTTAATTCTTATTATTTTAATTTTTAAAAACAGGTTTTTAAATTTTAAATTCATATTATTATATTTGTAATGATTTTTTTAATTTTTAGATTCACTTAATCTTAATATTTTTAAAAGGTAAAAAAATTAAGCAAATATATATTAAAAAATTCATCGAATTCATTAAATATAAGAAAATACGAAAATATATTAAATTTTTATATTTTTTTGTATCTGGTATTTTTTTTAAATTTACAAATATTATACTTTTTAAGTATATTTAGATCAAGTATTTTAAAAAAATAAAAAATGTACATATAATTTTAAAAAACTCACTAAAAATTAAAAAAATACAAAAAATAAAAAATTTAATTTTTTAAAAAGTTGACTCAATTTCTAAAATCAAACGTGATCATAATACTTCAAATTTAGAAAAAAGTACTAAAAAATGTATTAAAAAAGACATCTATGACCCGTAATTGTGACCTTTAAATTTATACCATATAACTCGTTTTAGGGTAAATCTTAAAATAATTTTCTTGATTTACAGCATTTCTCTTTAAGATTTAATAAATAACAATGTTGGGTATTTTTCTGTACACAAGTTATAAGCGCATTTTTTTTTTTTTTTAAATGCATATGTATATGGCATATTTTACATCCTCAGGGCTCAACTTAAGGTCTCGCCGTGTGGTTAAAGACTTTAAGGTCAAGTTTGGCAACTCAAAAATAATTTATCTTTTTATTTTTTATCTTTTTTTCATCACATCACTTTTATATTTTTCTGTACATCTTTTCATAAAAAGACAAAAAATATACTTATTGAGGTCATCACAAACAATCTCAACTTAAACCCCAGCATCAAGCAAGAAAATTCAACTTCTTACGGCTAAACTAACTACTTTGTAGATGTGATTATAGAGTCTCTTAACAGGGAATTTAAAATTGGAACATGTAAAACTATTTATCCAGAAAGAATAATAAGAATTTTATTCAAAATTTTAGAATGTGGTTAAAATTCAATTGATATATTGTGAGATGCATGTGTAAGAAATCTAAACTACACACTGATATTTTTTTAAATGAAATTAGGAGTAAAAATTTTGTATATGTACTATTAGGGGTTGTTTGGGGTGTCATAAATAAGTGTATTTTTTGTCTTTCTGGACTAAAAAATTGAGAAAAAAATATGGATATTTGGGTTAACTTTTTAACTTTTTATGAGAAAATGTATATTAAAAAATTATATAAATTAGTGTGTTAGGAAAAATTAGGATGGAGAGTTGTGCAGCCGTAATTTTTTACTTTTGGTGAATAGTAATAATTTTTAATTTTTTGAGTAACTTTTTAGTAACTTGCTAAACTTGGCCTAAATGTATTTTTAGCCATTGCTAAAAACTAAAAGAAATGAATTTGTTAAATAATTTAAAAGGATTTTTTTTTAATAAAAGGAGCTTTGCTTTTTTTTAACTAATAATTCTTTTTTTAGTCACCGTTAGATATCTTAATTAGTTGAAGTTCTAAAAAAAAGTAAAAAGTAGGAGAAAGCACGAAAATTGCATCTCATATAGTCGTCAAACTAATATGAGAGTGAGTCCCTACCTACTAGACTATCGTTTTCTATAGTCTCTCTCTAATTTCCTTTATATAGTTGGTTGGACTTGTTTATAATTTTTTGACTTGTTTATAATTTTTCATTTAAAAAATTTGTACTAAAATTTTGATGTAGGCATTTTATAATTTATGAATTAAAAATAATTAAAATTAATTAAAATTTCTAATTATCAAATAGTTGGAGAGAAAAAATCTTTGCATTTTTGTTCTTTATTATTAATTTTTATTTTGATGTAGGCATTTTATAATTCATGAAGTCAAAATAATTAAAATAAATTAAAATTTCTAATTATCAAATAGTTGGAGAGAAAAAATCTTAACATTTTCCTTCTTTATTATTAATTTTTAGCTTACAAGGAAAAAATTACACCAAACATAAATAAAATTAGTGTACTTAAATTATTTACGGAATAATTCACAAATAACACACAAGAAGATGAGTCCTTATATATGAAATTTGCTTGGGAATTTAATTTTCTTATTTCTTGTCTATATAAACAATTCGTTGAATGATTTTTGTGCATATAATATACAGTTTGGTGAAACATATTAATGAAGGTTTATTAGACCATCTCCAACGGTGAATCAAACCCAGCATCAAATTCAAATTTTGATGAAAAACTTACTTTTTCAAGCTCTAACCGTTGCACCAAAGTCACATCAAAATGAGAATTCAGCAAACAAAACATCAAACTGAGACCAAGACACAGATTTTACCAAATCACTGTTACTGACCGTTGAAAGAGGTACACCAGCCAACCAGCCGATTGCCCGCCCGGTTGACCAACCGGTCAACCAATAAAAGATTCAAACAGTTCAAGAAAAAAAGTTCAAACGGTTAAAAAAAAATTTGCCTAACCGGTCAACCGGCCGGTCGACCACCCGGTCGTCCCGAAAAAAGTTCAGAAAGTTCAAAAAAAAGTTCAGACAATTCGCAAAAAAAAAAAAAAAAAAAAATTTGGCCTAACCGATCAACCGGCCGGTCGACCACCCGGTTGTCCCAGGATAGATTTGGTGAAAGGTAAACCGTTGGAGCGAGTGATATCAAAGTTGGTGAAATGGGTCATTTTTTACTCAGATTTGGTGAAAAATTTGAGTCACTGTTGGAGATGCTCTTAGTAACAAAATTCGTATTTATGGAGAATACAATATCACATCAAAAAAATAATAATAATAAAAACACCTCACAAAAGTACTGAAAAATTATTTTAAAAAGTCATTAGCGTAGCAGTAGGCAATGGTAAAGTGAATAAATAAATGGGACATTGAAAAGATAGTTTGGAATTATTTAAATAAATATATTTTTTGACTTTTTGTAAAGTATTGGTTAGGTTTCAAATGATGTGGTAGAGAGGTAATATGACTTAAATAAAATGATTTGACTTAAATGAAATAGTGACTTTTTGACTTTTTTTTAAAGTACTACAAACAAGGTCTAAATTATGCATATACAGGTAAGTGTCATTTTATGCCTCATTTGAAAAAAAAAATTTAATAATTTTTTGATTAAAACATGATATAAAAAAATTAGTATGTGTGATATAAATTTTTAATTTTTTACAAAAAAAAATATATAAAAAGTAAAGAGAAACAAAAAATTTAAAATTTTTTGTATAGATTGTTATTTTTTAATTTTTTGATTTTTAAATTAAAATTATCACTTGTCAAACAAGACTTTAATTTTAAAAAAACATTAAACTTAAACCACTTAACTTAAAAATTTCAAAATAAATGTGTAAGATGAGTGCTGTATTAACAATTTTTGGCCTTGTCATCACACTAACCGAAACATACCTAATATTTGTCTTAATGTTAGAGCGAGAAAGTCAGAGTTGTGAGAGAGAGAGAGCATATTGACCTTTGAGAGATAGCTTGTAAATTTGGAAATCCTTTAATTTCATGCAATTAAGCTTGAGAAACTTGAGACCATAGTTAAAGTTCAGTTCTTTTGTAAGTGGTAATAAAAAGCAATGCAAGAAGAAGGCAAGTGATTTTTTTTTCATTTTTAGAGAGAGAGAGAGAAAATCTATATGGGGAGGAGAGAGAAAGTTAGGAGAAGATTTGCATGATCCATATTTGCAGGGTTTGTGCATTAAAGACATGCAGATCCCATGATCTTGTCTGTTCTCTCTCTCTCTCTCAGTCTGCAAATGTCCTAAGAGGACAGTCCCTAGATAAAGAACTGTGATCCATCACTTGGAACCGTTTGATTCGATTGCTTGAGATGCGAGAATTAAATAAACAAAATCTTACGTAATATAAATCTGATCCAACGGCAAAATGAACAACACGTCTTTATCTACATTTGTGTAGTTAAGTATACCCTTTTTCGTCCGCCGCGTTGATTTATCGGCAAATTCGCATGGTCGTTATATCACTTAACGACATCGTTTTTGCTGGACTCGCTAAATAAACCCTCTTAATTTTCACTCCACTACCGAAGATAAAGGCTCATTCTGAGACTGAGACGTGAATTTCTTTTTTTTACAAAAATATTAAAAAAATCAAAAGCAATTTTTAATCATCTTTCAAAAAATCACAAAGTATTCATTTGGCAAGTGAGTTGGTGTAAGTTGGACTAAACAAGTATAAAAATATAAAATAAAATAAATAAATTTGTAAAAAAAAAATGTTATAATTAAATTATAATTATTATAGTTGTTATCTTTTAAAAAATTAAATAAGTCAAAAAAAAATTCAAATGAAACTAATTTAATCAAGCTAAATTAGCCAAAAAATTAAAAAAATTATTTTCAAACAATGCCAAAGTATTCAGTATTTATGGA